ATCATTTATTCTATTTTTCGAGAACACAGGCTTTGTCCCATGATAGAAGATGACTTTTTAGTCTACATAGTGACAAACCACTGACTTCAGTGTGAACATGGCCTCAGCACAGAGGTAACAGCCTTTGGGAACAAGATGCATATGCATGGAGGAGGGAGGCTGCAGAAAGGAAAAAACATGCTCCACCTAAAAACAAGATAATTAAGTTACCCAACAATACAATGCTTCCCCTAAACCAAAGAAAACAGGGCTTTCGCCACCAGGGTGTAGATCCCAGCACATATCCCAAAGCCCTGGGTTTTCCTTTTCACTTCCTCAAAACTGGGTGGAGGACACCAGGTGAAAGCACAGATGTGGCTTGTCACTTCCTTGTCACTGGCTCCAATGCAGAAAGACGGAAGATGTGCCCTGCCTGCCCAAGGGTGGGGGTGAGCTCCTGGGTGGGTTACACTTTAACACCCTCCCTGTCACCAATGAGTAACAGAAGAGGAGGCTACATCTACATTGTTCAAAAATTTGAGCAGAACTGAAAAATAAGCATGTGATCCCAGCTGAGCAGGAAGAGGAGTGGCGGGGCGGCAGAGGTATGCTGGGTTCAGTATGCCACACTCTCTGAGACAGGGAGACAGCAGCAGAGCTCAAAGGAAATGTGATCTAAACAGAAAGGTGTTCCTGACTGTGCACAGGACTGCAGCACAAAGGCGGAGAAAAGGGAGGCATCTCTCAGAAGGGATAAGCAATTGTGGGAACTTTCCAAGTAGGAAGGACCCACCTGGGCAGAGGAGACAAACCCAAGCCAGCAGAGCTCCTTGCAGAGCTTATGAGGAGGACAAGGCTAGCAAGAGACAAGACAGCGGTCAGCCAGGGAAGAGCGCAATCTTCCTCAGGGGAAAAAACCTTGAAGGTGAACAGCCTTTCCAAGGCAGAAATATACAAATTCAAATAAATGACTGGACTGGGGTAGGAGGAAGGGAGTGGGCAACTGCAAAGAGTAGCTAGAAAAGAAACCAACAAGTAAGGCGCTGGGAAAGCACAGTCAAAAAGCCGGAGAGCAAGGAAGAAAAGCAATTCGCTGAGGCAGGGCAGGCAGCACCCACCTCCCCACACTGGGTGACAGAGGATACAGCACAGCCCCAGGTCGTGCTGGGGCGAGGGTGCTACTGAAGGTCACGGCCTCGCAGGCAGCGCAGATCAGCCCACCCACGGGATCAGGACACAGCCAAGCCATCAGAAACACATTAGTCACCTTGTTAAGGGTGGGCGGAAACATCTACAAGCCAGGGTTTCAAGGACACCACAGGTGGTAAAAAGGTATTTTATCACTGTTCTCCCTGTTCCTGTTCTCATTCTACTGTAACATTTAAAGTATTTACATTTTCAGTTGAGAGGTCTTCTTTCCATTTCCAATCTGATTGGCTATACTAAAAAAGGCATATGCCCGTGACAGTTTTCATGTTTGTTTTAGTTTTGTTTGGAATTTTTTTCCCTCTTTGGGTTCAAGAAGTAATATGTACATGTACCAGCTCCCCGCTATGAAATGTATCTACTATGCATTGCAAACACATACTAATAAAAAATAGGAGAGAAAAAGTTCATTTTATTAAAGATCTCATGAAAAGGGTGCTGCAGTTTACACATGTCCCCTCTAGAGTCTCGTCAGGTGTGAGATCAGCCAGAGGGCCTCGTCCTGAGAATTGAAAGTGAGCGTCCAGACCTCCAGCTGACCATTCTGATCTCCCTGTGGCCACGGTGCACTGGCAAACAACCTGGCGCCTGGTGCTGTCTGTTGGGCTGTGGATGGGCCATTTCCTGAGTGCAATCCAAGCTCCTGTTTTTGTAGGAAGCAGAGTTTCACTGTGGATGAATTGCTCTTCTCTGGAACCACAACACACCTGAGCTCGCTCAGAGCACGGCACTGGATCACGTCAAAGGGCAAGTGTGAGGGAAGCACGCTCAGAGTCCCAGGATGAGGGTAGAACACGCCATCAACCCTCAGCAGTGCGAGGTGGGTGCTCAGCAGGACCAGGGAGCAGCATGGGCCACAGCCTGGCTCACCTTCAACTCTGACCGTTGTGTAGAGCAATACCTGAACCTCTGCCAGAGAAGGGACGTTGCCTTCCATATTGCCATGAAGCAAGTAAACCATGTCAACCAAGGTAGTCTGGAATTTGGAGGATACCCGAACCCCATCTGCCAAAGCTAAGTCAGGGATTTCTGCTTTCCAGTCAAGAGAAAGCTGAACTAAATCTTGCTGGAGCAAAGGATGGTTCTCACAGGCTGCAGCTTCGGCCTCTGACACCAGGATGTGCAGAAGGTCGCGGCATAGCTGCTGGCAGAGGCTTTTGTTATAAGTGAACGCGGTGAGCAACAGACCCTCCGTGGAACCCAGGAACCGGATGCTCTGCCCGCCAAAGCCAACCTGAATCTCCTGCAGTCTAGAAAGAGGCAATGCATGAAAAATGCTCAATGTGCCTGGGTGAGTATCTGCCAGGGCCAAAGCATACACTGCTGCAGGAAGCAGGAGCAGGCATGCTGGCCTGGGATCAGGGTCTGAGCAATTGGCCACAGCCAGCCAGTAAATGCCCCTGATTTCCTTCACGTTGTCCAGAGCGTCAGGCAGAACAGAAGCCATGTGCTTCTGAAGGTCTCTCAAAGGGCATGCCTGCAATTTCAGCATGAGCGCTGGGAACTGCACAAGAGTCTGTATAAATGCACAGCTCCATCCAGCATCTTCATATTCCTGGTGGAAAACTGAACTTGATGAGGAGCTTGGTAAACCCACAGGCATGAAGGCAGAGGCCACATAAGGCATGGTGCCTGGCACTCGCACGAGGCTCTCTGCCTCTGTATTGCTGCTGCCACCACCAACCTGAGCTCCAGGAACAGATTGGGGTCCTGATGGTGCCCTGTGTGACTCCCAGGGCATGGCCAGGGGCAGTTGCTTCAGCACCGGCAGGCTTTGGAGGAATGCTGTCAGGTGTGAGGTGAGCCCACCTGGGGAACACAGACTCCCCACATGCATGGCTCTGCTGAGCACTGCAGTGCCTGCATGCAGCAAGTGACTACTGCTGTCTTTATAAAGGTCTGAGAACTTACGGTAAAAATATCCCAGGCCACTGTTTCCTTCTGCCCTAATATCTATCGGGGACATGAAAGAGCTAATCTTTTCAGCAGCCAAAGCTTTCTCATCTTGCTCACCACAAACTGTGGGGGCTAGGCCATTTTGTGGGATGCTGCCCGGTGCCCACTGCTCCCAAGCAGCAGTGTCTGAGAGAACAAAGTGGAGAGCCCCACTCGGCCCGCCCTGCCCATGTCTGCTGCCTGGAGATGCCTGCTGGGATGGGTGTTGCAACCACGTCCACCTGGACTCGGATCCCAGGCTGTGTTCATCTCCATGAGTCCTGGGCTTACTGAGATCTTGTGCCCTGCCCTGCAAATCCCCTGCAGGGGCGCTGGTTTCCTTCCCATTAAGAAAAGCACTTTCAGGTGGATGAAGGCACTCTGGCTCCAGGTGGTCACACTGCTCTGGGGAGAGAGCTCTGCACCCGCTATCAGCCCCTGAGGACAGGTGCCTTCCCTCCTGTGAGGAAGCGGTGGACAGCCAGGATGCCGCGGGGTCTGGGCTGCTCTGTGCCTTCTCTTCATTCTCTTCTCTAATGACGAGGTGAGCAGTGTCAGTGGAGTCTTTGGGCAGAAGTGAAACAACGCATTGTGCTGGTTGAGACTGCCTTTTCTGTTCAATATGTCAAAAAAAAGTTGAAATGGGCATGTAGATCACTTCTTGAAATTCTTTTGTACATGATGATTCTTGTGGTCAATGATTCCATTGGGAGGAGTGATTCAGAGGTTAAATAGCTATTGGTATTGATTAATACATGATTTAAGAAGATCTAATTTATATACAGCACATCAACGTCCATATTATATATCTTATAAATTACTGAGCATTTTATACAAGGACATACTACAGGATTGATCCACAGTATCCATTTCTTGGTCTAAGATTTTGTTTTCTTTGAAATAAATGCTAAGACTTTCCTCTCCATGTTTAAAAGGCCACACTTAGATGTGAAAATAAGTGCATGACTGTATGTTCAAAATGTAAAAACTTCAGGGCATACATAATAAAAATGGAAAGGCAAGGCCATGGGAAGTTGACAGGTATTTCAACCCAGGGCATACGCCTCCCTTTTTTCAGTCTGTTTCCTGGGTATCCATACTTATGTCCTCCATGTCATCAAAGAAAGCTTGCTGCAGGCCTGCTATGTGCCAGACACCATGCATGGACACAAAATAATGAAAGGTGACACTGTGCTCTGCCTGGGGTTACCTGTTCCAGAGATGGTGTCCAGAAGGGCACATCATTACCAGGTGGTGGTCACAGAGTTATGCTCATGGCAGAACATTCAAATTGGTGCTCCCTGTTCAGTAATATATGGACAGTGGTAGGAAGATTTCTACCATCTAGCAGTTTTGTTGTTTTTAAACCTAGAACCCCAGGAAGCACAGACTCCATAGACCAAGAAAAAGCAAGCAAAATCTCACAAACTATATGTCCAAATAAACTTGAGTTTGACAATCCACCAGAAAAATAAGCTAATGAATCAAGAATAATTCCTTTGTACTACTTCCAACTCATAGTCTATAAATTACAGAGGTTTTTAAAACACGGAGAAGTACTCAGTTTCGTTTCCAAACCTTGTATCTGATTATATAAGTCTGCCTTTCACATGCAGACCAAGGGAAAGGATACTGTTACAAAGGAAAACCTGGGCAAAGCGCCACCACAGCAACATGCCACTCAAGTGAAGCCAGAGCTGTTTTCAACCTGCAGGATCTCATTTAATTTTAAGTCCATATAATAGCTTGCCTTCCCCATTAGCCATTAATCTCACTGGGACTTCAAAATTCTAATTATGCAACTAAACATTAAGAAAATTTAATCACACAAGCATGCCATAATTTAAGTGACCCTATCAATCTGAAAAATCATTACCTACCTCATATTTTAGCTTACGTTGAATAGTGCCATTGTGAAGTTTCTCATTATCCTGAAAAGAAAATAAAAAGCCTTCTATATTAAATTATAGCATGTTCATAAAGGGGAGAAAAACTAATTCGATTAGAAGTATTTATGGGAACAAAATTCTAAAAAAAACATACTTATCATTCAATAATGACAACCCCTCTATAGAATTTATATGCCCCAGGTAAACAAGACTGCATAGATCCATCTGCTTGAAAGAAAATAGAACCATTTGTTCCTAATCTTAAAATTCTATGAGTAATACTGCAAAGAAGAGTTTCTTAGGATATTTCTTAATTTGTAAGTTAGAAATGAACAGTTTCAAAAATTGATAAAAATCTGTCAATGGGAAAATACATTTCTACTTTGAGTAGTTTGCAAAGTAAATTAAATACTCATGGAAATTGGCTATATTTTAGTAGAAAACAGATACCTGTTACATGTAGAATTTTTGTAAATTAAAACTAGTAAAGTATTTTAGGAGACTTTATATTCATTTAAGTTTTCTCAGAATTACAAAAGTATAAAATAAAGTTAGTCTTGATTTAAAACTATTTGTAAACTGTTAAGCTTACTCCAGGCAATATTTGGTAAGAGCTTTTAGAACTTTCCACACTGAATTTTCTCTTAATACTATCACTGTCACCACTAATTTATCAACAAGGTCATTCTGAAAAGCAAATAGCTTCTCCTGCTTACCTTTGTCATATCTGTAGAAGTAGTCCGAGCATCACCAACTGTACGATGCAAATCCTGAAGACGCCTTTGAACTTCTTCTTCAATGTAAGCATTGATTCTGAAAATCATGGAGATGGGACAAATTTGAAGGCTCTAACCACACGTGGTTCCTACGTCTCTCTTTATGATACCCCACTAATACAATTTTTCTCATTCTAAATGCCAAACATTAAAACAGCTCAGGATCAAAAACAATTCTCTTCTATCCAAGGAATCTAGTGCCATGTGTTCACTATCTGTTTTGTTCCCCACATGAGGTAGATTTGAATGAATAACAGTATAATGAGCCAGGAATGGAGACTGAGAGATCCCATCCAAACCTTTTCTGGATTCCCTTTGGAAACCTACTGCAGAGAAGGTGGAAGTTACAGTCAGTGACTTGGGAGGCTCTGAACATCAGGTCTGACTTTTAAGACACAACACCTTGTCTCCTCTCACAGAAAAGGATACTGTAGATGACAGCTATCTCTCAATCACAAGGTCATTTAAAAGAATTGCCAAAAAAATTAAATAAAAGTGTACGTACTCTCAGCTAGGAAAATATTTTTGAATTGTCGTATCACTCTTGGCTTGCCTTGTGCCTCCAACTGGGCTACCTGCTCTGGGCCAGGGAGACCCCATCATAAAGTTCTCCACACTCCCCAGTGCCTTGCACCAGACCACCTCCTCCAAGGAGAATCCAGAGACAACTGACTTCTGAAGCACTTAGCAGGGACTATTTGGTACCCCGCCCCAGGATGTAAGAGACGCTGTGTAAAGTGTTAACAGTTAGCCTGACCCATTCCAGGGGATTTCAACCCAATCCTCTGTTCTGTCCTTCAGAGGACAGAAGTGTGAGACGAGAACTGAAGTCACACTAAAAATGATTCCTGCACCATGGATTGCCCAAGTGAAGTCTGATTCAATTCTCCCCCGTACTCCTACCATTCTACATGCATTGATTACATGGGTTAAATTAAATGGGTTCCATATTTACATCTCAGCGTGACCACTAAATAATGGATAAATCTGCTTTTGTATTTTTAAACACATGCATAATCCTGTCAACATTTCTCTGTATAACTAAAGGGAAATTTTTTAAGTGCTCAGTAAAGAAATATTTTCGATAAACAGCCCAAATAAAGTACAGTATATACCTTTAGTATTGAAACTGAACATGAGGCCAAGCCATTTATAAATCACCTCTCTGACATTCACTTCCGTTTGAAAATACAAACCTAAATTTAATAAGCACCAGCACCTTGCATCTATCTAAATACATTGTGATATCCAAAAACTTATCTCCTCATATCCAGGACTGACCATTAGTTTGAAATGTCCCCATGATACACAGACGGGCAGGAAAAGAATCATTGTTTTCTTATAGTCAGAGAATGAAGAAGTTGATTTATCTGGGAGCTCTAAGCCACAGAGTAATTCACAATGGCACCTAAGCAGAAAATCATTTTATTATTCTACCATCAGATATACATTTAATATGGTCATTCTGAACACACTAGTGCAGTTTTTATAGCAAACTTCATCTGTTTATAATTAATGACATATAAAGTAACTCTGAGCACAAATGTTCTTTCTTGGTATGAGTGAATTCATTCTATAGCTACATTCTTTTCAATCTGGCCTTGTACTACTTTATTCTGGGTAAGCTGGTTTCCCCAGAGCTTATAATTCCACCTTCCCACGTTGACTAGCTGCACCAAAGCTCCATGGAATTTTCTGACCAGTTCTCAGGCCCCTGATTTCCTTCATAAGACTTTTGACCCCATCACTAGCCAGGCAGCAGGCGGCAAACACAGTATTTCTCAGGCACAAGAAGTACCTCCATTTACAAAGTAGTTTATGTAGAAACAACGGTACAAACTAGCCAGTGCAGCCTTCCCCTAAAAAACTCTCTGTACAAAGTTGGCCCCACTGATCACCTGCTTCAGCTGCTGGATTTCATGTTCCAATCTACAGAGATGGGAACCACTGGATTCACTCAGTAATGAACTTCAGGAGCACATACTTTGTAGGAGACATTGTTTTGAAAAACAAACCGCAGACCCAGACAAGAACTCTATGTGCAAAGATCTTTATCCCCTGTTAGTAATTACTAAGTGTCACACACCTGTGAGTAGGGCATCAATTGAAAATGAGGTATAAGAAGGGTGCAGGATGAATGCTGAATGCATCCCAAAGTTGGAGTTTGACCAAGAAAGGGAAAGACACTAGCAAGTCCTTGGCAGTAGCTGTGCAGAATTCTGAGTTCCCCAACTCCTGCCTCAGCAAGGGATGGTTGCAGGATATATATTGCGATTCTGATCAATACTTCTACTTGACAAAGAGATCTAAATTTCAAAGAGCTTTTGGAAACTACCAACTGAAGAGGGGAATCATGGTCAAGGAATTTCTAAGTTCCATCTTCAAATACCAGGCAGGGTGTGAGGATTTAGAAAAGAGGTGGAAGACATCCCAGCTGCAGAAAGCAGTGCGAGCAAAGGAGCTCTTCTGAAGGAATCCACTTTGGCTAGGGCAGAGGCGATGGAAAGAGGAAGGAGGGCAGGCAGACCAAGGAGAGCAGGACAAAAATTCCACGAGAAATTAAAATAAGCCATAAATTGTGGAACCAAATCAGCTCCGATGATAATCCATCAAATATGAGATTCACCTGACAGGAGTTTTTAAAATATAAGGCCATTTTCCCACTGATGGAGGCATGTTTGCCTCTAGGACCATCAGGCTAGACTAGGGCCACATCTACCAGTAAATCTGGCCCTAGGGAACATATGGCCCAGTATCTGAAGGCTGTAGCCCACCTGCTATGCATCACCAAGTTATTTCAGACTGGGTCTCTTATTACTTTATGGACCAAATCAGAGAGTCAGCTAATCTCTTTTAGTCATTCAGTTCCCAAAATCAGAGATTCTAACTTCAGATGCCGACACACCACGATGTCGCCAGCAACCAAATGTGGAAGCCAAGTTCTTAACTCTCAGAAATGCGATCACATAGTCACCAGCTAAGTAAGCATGGTTTTCATAGGAGGCAATGCCCAGTTTAACACAGCCCTTCATCTGCCCACTAACTAGCAATCATTTCCTGAGATCAACTTGCCAAACACAATAATTTTAAAAGAGGAAAAGATATGCATAAAAGAATGAAGTCAGGAGTCCAGAGATGGATAAAAATCAGGGAGCCATGTCAACAGGGTCATAGCAATGCCAAAGAACACAGCAGCTTGTAAACAGGCCATCAGCAATGTTCACAGTAAAAAAGGTATGGTTGTTTAGAAACCTCTGTCAGGCTGGGACTGTGGAAATGATTCTGCAAAGTGGGATTACGGGGGCCCCTAGGATCAGGTAGCCAGGAACAAACAAGGCAACCCAAAGACAACATGTCATGCTTCGAGCTGGTCCCCCTGGACAGCACCCACATGATCAGTAGAGAAGAGGACAAGGTGGCTAAGAGATGAGTGGAAAGAGTCTTGGATCCAAGTTGCCATTCTGCCACTTCTAAGTGTGACTCTAGTCCCCTGTGGCTGCATAACAAATGCAGGTTCAATCTCCCATCAGTTAAATGGATGATGGTATTCATTTTAGTGGCAGAGCAAATGACAACACATATGTGGCATGTAAAACAGTTTGAGTTACACAGGATTATGCCTCATGGCTGACACCATGACTATTATCACATTATCAGATAAGAAAATATAACAATGTACATATGAACAGCTTCTCTGCTATAGTGACAGGTGGGCTTTTCTCCTAAGGCTGCCTGATGTGAGCTATGTGGGTAGCTGGAATGAGCAGGTGGTAGAAAAAAATAACAGTAAAATAAATTAAATCCAGGTCAACAGGACTGAGAAGCCAATGGGAAAGCGAGGTTCAGTGTATTTCTGTCCAACCTATCTCAGATAAATTTAATATTTTAGAAGTTCACAAGGGGCCAGGTGTCAGGTCCTGGCTTGCCCATGAAAAACTGGAAAGAAAATGAAACTCAACAGAAACAGAAACAGATAAAGTTGGAGGGGCCTCACAGAAGAGCAGAAAGCCTAGCCTGGCCTGAACTGATCTCAGCAATGCCTGCTTCATCAGAACTCAAGAAGCTCACAACTTCCTCTGTGCAGCTTCTGCAGCAATGCTGATGTTAACAGCCTCTGTGGAAATGGCAATCTGCATTTGCTACTAGAGAGTATTAATATTAAAGGACTGGTTAAGAAAAGCCAGGGACATCAAGCTAAGAGCGCCTGCTTCACTCCTACTGCACACTGTAGGATACAAATTGACAGCACACCCTCCACTACTTTGAAGTTATCAAACCACTATGCATTCCACAGTCACTGGGGCAATGACCCAGGCTTTGGGTACTTGGTTTTTTGTTAGGCTAATGATTCTGAGAAGGATTCTATGAAGAAACCAAAGAGTGTTCAGGCACACGTTTCTCAAGTTTCATGAAGTAACTGTTTGCCCGTATACTAGAGACTAGAAAAGCTAGGAGAGCTGCTTTCTCGAAAAGGTGATGATACATACCCCATGAGGGGCAGAAAGGAACAATATTTGGTGCCCACTGTATACCACGATCTATGTTCCAGCTCTCACCTGTCCCGCTCTGTCTCCAAGGCCTCCTGATCACCTTCCAGGCCAGCCAGGAGCTCAGTCTGCTCGCTGTTGCTGCTCTGCTCCTCAACCTCCAGGCCCAGGGCAGGGCCTTGCTGCAAAGCTGAGTGCCTGCGCTGCAGCCTGGCCACTGCCCGCTCCAGTGCCTCTCTCTGCTGCTTCTCCTGGGACTCTAGAATCTCCTTCTCCTTTTTCCGCACTTTCTCTTCTTGTCTCGCAACATTAGTGGTGAATTCGAAGGTGGCCTGGAGCTGCTGCAGCTGGCGGGCATGGGCTTGGTGCTGGGCAAGCCGCTCTTCTTTTTCTTCCATTTCTTTCTCCACTTGATACAAAGTGTTGTCCAAGCTGAGTGGGCCCTGGTCAAGGACTTCACGCGCCCTCTGCTTTTCTTCCAACAGAGCTGGCAGCTGATTTTGCAGGAGGTCCTCTAGCTGGCGTTCCTTATACCGCAGCCTGCATTCTACTGCCTTTATTTTCTCTAAATCGTGAGCCACCTGAGAGATACCTGGGCCACTACCACCGTTTTTTGCCAGCAACCTGGAGTCCATGTCTTTTTCACACTGTAAGCGCTCCAGGACTTCCTGCTCTTCCTGGACTTCTTTACTCAGGAGGTGTTCCTGCTGGGCCAGCTCCTGCTCTGCAGTGGCTAGCTGGATTAGCTGCCGTCTCTTGAACTCTAGGAAACGCAGCTGGCCCGCTTCTGGCTCCTGGCCACCCATGTCCCTTGTAGCTGGCGCCTCCCTGGCCTGCAGCAGCACTGCCCTGATGCCCTCGAGCTCATGTTTCTCCTCCTGGGCCCGCAGGACCATGCTTCGCTGAAGGGGGGCCAGCTCCTCCCTCTCTCGCAGCTGCTCCTTCAGCTGGGCCACTAGCAGCACCTGCTCCTTCTCCTGCTCCTCCAGCCTCTGCTTCTCCATAGCCAGCCTGGTGCACTGCTCATCTTTTTCCCGCTGCAGCCGGCCCAGCTCCTGGAATATCTCCATTTTCTCGGCCTGCTCACTGCTGCTGAGTTCCTGGAGCCAACGGAGAAAGCTCTCTTCCTCCTGTTTCCTCTTCTGCAGCTCAATCTCCTGCTGCTCGCGCAGCCTCTCCTCCTCAAATTTTTCCTTCTCAGCCAGCAGGTCCTTGAGCTTGTTCTCGATGTGGAAGCTACGGCGCTTGAGGCTCTCCTCCTGCTTGCGAATCTCCCGCTTGACGATTTCCGTCTCCTTGCGCTGTGTCTCCACCTCCTGCTGCATGCGCTCCAGGGCTGCTTTGTCCGACTTCTGCTTTTCCTCCATCTCTTCTATCAGCTTCCTGCAAAGCAATTTCAGACCCATCATGACTGGCTTGCTACATTCAGATGGTGCCTTAACTTGAACACATGTGAAACATAAAGCCAAACTCTTCATTAAAATAACACAGGAAGTACCATCCCTTCAAGTTTTTAGAAACATGGTCTTTACATTTTTTACTGTTTAACTGTCCTATCTATCATCTGGCTACTCTTCTGAAGTAGCTTCTGGCACCATTATTTTGTGGAGCATAAAATTATAATGTGTTATGTATGATAATTAAAAACAAAACAACCCTGAGTTCAAAGAGAAAAAACAATGTCCAATTTACACTTAAAGTTAATGTGAATAATTTTATTTGGTGCAAAGAGCAAATCTCATCAGAGGTTCAGTTACAAGATGCCATTCAATAAAAACACTATGCCTTCTTCAGCTCTCCGAGGTCGAATATCAAAGTCAAGATAATTGACAATTCATTGATCTAGCTCAACTTCATGCTACTTAGCACTTAATCACTAGTTTAGGACAAAGGTTGATCACCAAATGGCCCAAAAGATTAGCTTACTGATGCATAACACTGAAAATAACCACAATTCCCATTAGAATACTCAAATGTATGATTCTGTAGGTGACATGCTCCTGCCTCACAGAGTGCTAAATTAGGTTTTGGGGGTCAGGATGGCCTCTACAGAGCAGGGGGTGTACTGTAGATAGTCTCCATCTCCTGACCACCAAACATCTGTCCCGTATAATGCAAGGAAATAAACAGATTCATTTGTGACACTTATGCATCAGATTCTAGAAAATAAAGGTCTAATCTGAAGATTTTCTATGGCTTAATTTCTACTCCAATACCTATACATGGTATAATTTTTAGCTTGTTAAACAGGACAGAATAAAGAAAAAGGAGAAAATACAGTTTTATTAAGCAAAGAAAATTTCAGAATATATGAAGAACTCTCCAAGGTAAACAAATACCCAGATCAGACATACATGTATAGCCTAAAAGAAAAATGAGTAAAAAGTATGAAGAGTTACAGATGGAAAATATAAATGGAACAACAGCAATATGGGAAGATGTTTAAAAACTGGAGGGTCAGGCAATAAGGGAAAATTTTTTTTGATTTTGCATTCAACCTTTAGTCATTCTTTTGGCCTTTCAAAAACAAACTCAAGGAATATTAAGAGAAGAAAGGCTTTTGAGTTAAATTCAAACATATATATATATATATATATATATATATATATGATATACTAGTGTGTCTAAACTATTTAAACATGAAGTAAATTCAACAATTTAAATAATTACTACCATAGAAGACAAGTAAATTCAGTTGTGGGAAAGACAGGCCCTGAAACAGATGCGAAGGAAAGGTGCAGGTTATTCACTGGGGATCCACAAACCTTGAGCCCCATACTCCTTACCTTTTACTTTCTAATTTTTCAAGTTCTTCACGCTGTTGTCGCTCAAATTCAAGTCTAATAAAATGAAATGAAAATAAAGTCACTTTCTTCCTAAATGAGCTTGTATCTCTCACTGTTTATAAAATCATATATTACAGACAGCATTGGTTTCTTAACTACTGTTTTTAATTACCATGGATTAGCAAGTTTAATATGCATTCTTTGCTCTATAACTATGATTAAAAATTAGACATAATTCTAGATGCTTGAACTCAAGACTAAAAAGGATAAATTTGACTTGACAAAAAAAAAAAACAAATGTCACTATATCATGAAAAAGCAGAGTTACACATGACTTCTAAACAACAAGCATATCTATGCCATGCAGCTTAGTCACTGATGAGTATGTAAAAATGCAGAATCTCTACCTTAGACAGATGGGTCCTTTTACAGGGAAAAGACTGCCAAGGGGGTAGAGAAAAGGAGAGAGCACAGACACCAATTAAGAAGATAATTTAACAAGAGGAAACACCAGGAGAAAAGCAGTAAGGTATTTAAAAGACAACAGCCATGCACAAATTGAAAGGTCTTTTTCTAAATATTACATTCCCAAAATTCATTCAGCAAGCGCCTCAAAAAATTAGCTCTGTTATGTTTGGCACATTTTTCATGATAATCACAGTACTGCTAATAACTGAGTATCAGTAATAATGGTAAACACTATATAGGTAGCTAGGCTGGTTACAGGTCCAAGATCCTCCTGCAATTAGTAACCAGGTGACACAGGACTTTTTGAGGTACTGAGATTGTAAACAGATTTATACAATGGCAATAGAATAAAAGGAGGCAGATTTTTGGGAATTTTTGTAAAAATACTGATAACACAAGCTGATTCCCAAACACTGGATTTGATTATTGCAATGTTGTACTATTACTGTTAAATAGCATGAACTATAAATTTTGAACTTATACATTTTCTTGTTGTCATAAATAGAAATCACAGTGAAAAGCTAAACTATTATAGCTAAGCTAAAATCCACTATAGTTTGTTTTCATTAAATAAAGCAGAAATCCAAATAGGTAAAAGACTTACTTTTCTAACAATTAACAAATACTTCAATAAAATCTCTTCATTTTAATTAGGGCTGATAGTGAGAAGAAGATACCTGGAGGCTTTTATAAGCAGAGTGTCTACAACAGTGGTGGCAAACCTACAGTACATGTGCCACAGTGAGCTGTTTGTATCACTGAAATCTCTAAAAAGTTTGCCATCACTGTTCTAAGACATGGTAGGTGCTGTGCCAATTCACACATCTTAGCTTTCTTTTTAAACCCACCTGAAAATTCTTAAGGTAGCAAATGGTACCTCCATTGCACATATGAGAAACATATCAAGGTAAAATTTGGTGTCACCAACTTTAGAACCTCTAAAATCCAACTTCTTAAGTACCCTCTATTGACTTAATTTATAAGCAATGCTCAAGTTCATGACACAAAATATAAGTACTAAGTCCTTTACTGAAATTTGCTATTGGGGTTGCATTTAGCCCTCCATCAAATGAAAATAACCTGCAGCCTATTATAGACATTGCTATCTATGTGAAATCAGTCAGGTCAATACATACAAAGAACTTTTTCTAGCCATAAGGTTCAGCCCCTATGCCATCACTTTAGGTAGGTATTAGGCTTCATTAAAATTAAACAATTTAAAATTTAAAAAAAATTAAAATGTGATCATTTTCTTTAATAGAATCCTTGGAAACGTCACAATTGATTATTTTCAGACGCCGTATTTTCATAGTCAGAAAGTATTACAGGATAAAACACTTTTAAAACTATAGAATTTTCCTAATGGAATTGTCTTTATTCTCATTTTTTTCCCTGTGAACAACAGCCCAATGCACCTATGAGTGGATGCTGCCTCACAATGTCATCTGTATGTGGCTACAAGGCAAATTCCACAGTGAGAACCTGGATGAAAACCCGTCATCCGAGGCTTGTTTATAACATAGTTCTCATTTTCATCAGGTTCTGTGCCTGACACTAGGCATATTTTACTTTTCCTCCCAACCTTAGGAGGTGGCCACCCTTATCATTCACAATTACAAAGCACAAAACTGAGGCTTCAGGTAAATAAGTAGCACAGGAACGCCTCATGCCCAAATCTGATGCTAAAATCTACACTGTCAACCACTATAATTGTTAGGGAGCTGCGTGGTCTCAAGGAAATGATAAAATTTGTACTACTTCCTGTGACATTTAACTGAGCACTTACTTTCGTCATTGAGTACAGAAGTGATGTGATGTGTTATATGGAAGTTTAAGAGTCACAGATGAGTCTCTGTCTTCTGCCATGTCAGAGAAAGGACAGAAACAAAGGAGAAAAGAGGGAAAAGTGACTATACTGCCCAGAGGCTAGCAGTGGATGTGAGACTATAGCCAGCCTTGGACACGTCATTTTTATGGAAGTTAAAGAACAAGCCCTACCTTAGAGGGTTTGTAGTCAGGATTAGGTGAGATAAACACATGTAAAATTTCTGTACAGCACCAGCTTATGCTGTGTGTCACATGTCACTGTTAGTTTGGGAGCCACTCTCAATGTTTTGGTTCAATGAGACAAGGAGAGTTGAGGCAGGGGGTGGGGGTGGGCGGGCAGTAGTGGTAGCTGTCAAGGGCATGTACCAAGATGGTAGGGACCACTGAAGTCACTGACCAACTCACTCCACATCTGGCACTGCTCAGAGTGCTTTGCGTTTCCCCAGACTGACCTTGTCCTGCCTTCTGGAAGGCACGCTCCTTCTCACATCCAAGGATTCCGAAGGCTGATCTAAAGGTGATGTACAGTAAGAAGGGGAAAACTGACAGTGACCTGGCACTCAGGCCCTTGGTAAGGCTGGAGGTTCCAATGTGGGATTTGCAGCAGTTGAAGCTGTAAGAGTCGGGGAAGTTCCCCAGGACAAATGAGAAGTATCAAAGACCATAAGTACTGCAGACACTGGTAGAGAAGAGTAAGCCCTCGAATGAGAAGAGGGTGAGCAATCTGAGAGACAGAAGGGCAGGAAGCAGGACGCGCATAAAAGCAAAGCAAAGAGGAGGCTTCAATGATGAGCTGGTACTAAGTGACTGAGGAATGTCAAGCAGTACACACAGGGCCCAGGGAGCACGCCCTGGACCTGGAACACACGGCCACAGGGTGACCTGTGTTGGGCTGCAGCCTGCCTGCGGTAAGCTGGGGAGCAAAGGGAAGGCTGCAGGGTACAACACAGCAGGGAGCTTCCTCAATGGTTTCAGTTGTGACATGGAGGTGGCAGATTTAAGACACCAATGTTCTTTTTAATAAATGAAAGACACGTGCCTATCTGACTCTGGGATAAAGAAGCTAGGAGAGAGGGACTGGACAGAAAAACCTGGGAGAAGGCTGAAAAGCTCTGATGGACAGAGATGAGGGAACACACCACAGGGTGTAGTGCAGCATGAATCCTGACTCCTGCAGGAGCACAGAAGAATCCCTTAACCCTTCTAATTCTATTTCCTCACCAGAAGACAGATTCACATTTGATCCTGGTTTTCCCCAGGTGACAGGCTACAGTGAGAGCACACATGACCACAGTGAATAAATGCTACCAGCCATCAGTTCTACGGGTGGATATAGTTACTCCAAGAAAGGTACACCAAGAGCTCGCCCTTGGAACAGGAAGGGAGGAGGAAAGGGTATTGCAAGGCAGATCTGGGAGGTGAGGGTGTTATTCTGCTAGGCTCCTGTATTCTGCGGGGTCAGAAACAAGGTCCTCTGCTAAAAGCAAGGAGATAGCCGGTGGTGTTTCAGGGATTGGAGAAATTATTTGTACTAGGTGAAAGCACCCAGGGCTAAGAGAACTCATAAAGAAAATGAGGCAAAAAAACAAAAACAAAAAAACAATGGCATGATTCAAGTTTTGAGATTATTAATTTCCAGAGGCCCAGATCTTTGTGCTGATGTGCTTTTCTCTTGTAGCACTGAGCTGAGATGCCTGGACAGTGACCCTGGGAAGACATAGTTCAGTGGCACAAAAGCTGGGACTCGGGCAGATGACAAAAGGACCATTGAGGATTCCAGAAGAGCAGGGTTCAATACTGGTATTGAACTGGTATGAGGAAATGATTAGATACTGAGGAGGGTCTAAATGAGGATAAAATAAGGCTTCAAAGAGAGAGCAGGAAATCACATTTCTAGGATACAGTGAGCACTACCTAAGTAGTAGGTTGCAAGATGAGTTATCCATACAAAATCACCAAGACAGCAGCAGTGCTGAGAAAGCAGGTGAAAGACACCAGGGTGAAGAGCTGGAAGGGGAACAGCAACTGTAAGAAAAGGCAAAGAGAGTGGGCGAGCAGTGGGCAGCAGTGCTGTGATCTGGGCCAGGCTTGAAGGAGACCTAAGGCCTCTGGTGATCCCAGCCCCTGCTCAGGGAGGTGTTTTCAGCTTAGAGTGTTTGATGGCATGGAGCAGGGAACCCTTGGATCAATAGCAGCTGCCGAGTCCACAGACGAGTGGCTGCAGTTTTGGGTAGGATTGCTGGAAATGGGTTGGATCTACAGAAATATAAAATGCTAAAATAAAAAAATCAGAGAGTGCTATTTTAATTCTCAGTGAAGAGCTGTGACTTTTCTGTGACCTGTTTCTAAACAGAGCTTTGCTATTTTCTACTAAAAGCCTGTGGCAAATAATGATTACCATTTCCTAAAAATATAGGAGTAGCAATTCAAAACTAAACCAACAACAACAACAACAACAACAACAACAAAAAAAAAAAAAACCCATAAAGATGCCCAGTCTTAAAAACAAAGCCACAAACAGCGTAAGAGTCATAATTACAGTCAGGGTCGGTATTTTAAATGATGTGAATTGTTACTAATAACCATATAACTTCTATTAAGTATTACATATCTACTAATTATACTTTTAAATGCATTTCTCTCCATACCCCATGATAATTATTTACATCACAAGCCACAATAGATTATAAAATATAAATGCAAATGTGTATCAAGTAAACTATCAACTATAATTGTATTTGAAAGCAGCTTCATTTAAATTAAGTACAACTCACTATTACACTTTACTAGAATGATCATGGCTCTAAATGCTAATTTTCCAAATGTTATAATTAAAAGGAAAATCACAAAAGGATGCTATTTTTGCTGCTTTTAGCATTTTAAAATGATATCTGGAAGTACACATACTGTGTTAGGTCCAACAGAAAAGCAGAGCACAGGGCCCATTTTTATCAGAAATAATTTCTTCTCATTAAGAGATATCTACAGTTTTTTATATAATTGCACATCTTGCAATTTACATTCCTGTTAGTAGGAATAATGCAAAAAGTGAAAGGGTAGGAATTTCTCAGCTCATACCATTGCATTGAAAGTGAGACTGATGAAAAAGAAAAGAAAAAAAATTAAATGAGTTGAAAGGATGAAT